TTTCTGAAGATGCTAGAGAACTACAGTCACGCGTGGCTTAATGATAGGGATATGTTCTAAGAAACACATCCTTACATGATTTTGTCATGCAAACATCATAGAATGTACTTACGCAAACCTGAATAGTACAGCCTACTACATACCTAGGCTACATGGTGTAGGCTGTGGCTCCTAGGAGGCAAACCTATATGTACAGCATGTCACTGTACTGAATACCATAGGCAGTTGTAACACAAATGTATTTGTGTAGCTAAACATAGAAAAGGCACAGTAAAAATATGATATAAAATATTAAAATGGCACATGTGTGTAGAGCTCTTATGAATGGAGCTTGCAGGCCTGGAAGTTGCTCTGAGTGAGTGAGTGAGTGAGTGAGTGAGTGAGTGGTGAGTGAATGTGAAGATCTAGGACATTACTGTAAACTACTGTAGACTTTATAAACACTGTGTATTTAGCCTACGCTAAATTTATTAAAAAAATATTGTTCTGGCTGGGTGTGGTGGCTCACGCCTGTAATCTCACCACTTTGGGAGGCCGAGGCAGGTGGATCACCTGAGGTTAGGAGTTCAAGACCAGCCTGACCAACATGATGAAACCCCGTCCTTAAAAAACGTAAAAAATTAGCTGGGTGTGGTGGCGGGTGCCTGCTATCTCAGCTACTTGGGAGGCTGAAGCAAGAGAATCGCTTGAACCTGGGAGGCGGAGGTTGTGATGAGCTGAGATGATGGCACTACACTCCAGCCTGGGCAATAAGAACAACTTTGTCTCAAAAAAAAAAAAATAGAAAAAGATAAAAGAAAATATTTTTCTTTCTTGATGAATAAATTAATGTTAGCTTACTGGCTTACTGTAAATTTTTACTTTATACACTTTTTAAGCCTTTTGATTATTTTGTAATAACACTGTTGAAAATACACATTGTACTGCTGCACAAAAATATTTTTCTTTTTTATATCCTTATTTTATAAACTTTATTTAAAAATTTTAAAAATTTATTTTGTTACTTTTTATTGTCTTACTTTTTGTTAAAAATGAAGACACAAACACCCGCATTAGCCTAGGCCTAGAATGAGTAAGAATCATTAACATCACTGTCTTCCACCTCCACATCTCACCCCACTACAAGGCCTTCAGGGGCAATAATAGGCATGGAGCTGCCATCTCCTGTGACAGCAATGCTTTCTTCTTCTGGATACCTCCTGAAGGATCTGACTGAGGCTGTTTAACTTTTTTTTTAAAATAAGTAAAACCAGTACACTCGAAAATAATGATGATATGGTTTGGATCTGTTGAATTGTAATTCATGATTACAATTCATGTAGAATTGTAATCCCCAGTGTTGGAGGCAGGGCCTGCGGGGAGGAGAGCGGGTCGTGGAGGTGGATTTCCCCTGTGGTGCTGCTTTCCTGGTAATAACTGAGTGCTCGTGAGATCTGGTTATTTAAAAGTGTGTAGCACCCACCCCCTTTTCCTTCTGCTCTGGCCATGTGAAGACATGTCTGCTTCCCCTTCGCTTTCTGCCAGGATTGTAAGTCTCCTGAAGTTGTCATGCTTCCGGTACAGCCTGTGAAAATGTGAGCCAATTAAATCTCTTTTCTTTGTAAATTACTCAATCTCAGGCATTTATTTATAGCAATGCAAGAACTAATACAAATTGTAAAAAGTATAGTATAGTAAATACATAAAGCAGTAACATAGTCATTTATTGTCATTATTAAGTATTATGTACCGGACATAATTGCTGTACTTTTACTTGACTGGCAGTGCAATAGATTTGTTTACACCAGCATCACCACAAACACGTGAGTGATGTATTGCACTACATATGTCATCACTAGGCTATGACATCACTAGGCGACAGAAATTTTCCAGCTCCATTATAATCTTACGGGACCACTATCATATATGTAGTCCACCATTGACTGAAATGTCATTATGTGGCACACACATGTGTACACATGTGGTGCTACCACAATGAATCAGTTTTTGGTGATCCCCTCTGTGATAAATTCATCCTCATGGATGGAGATGACTGCAATTCTGTGCCTGCACAGATCAATGGTTCTACAGACCTAGAGGCAGTTAACTTGAATATCCTATTCTCATCTCCAGGAGCCTCAGTCTCCCAAACCAATGTACCTGTGCCTGAAAGTTCTCAGTCCTAATTAGTTAATTAATTTTTAATAAACAGAGTCTTGCTCTGTCATCTAGGCTGGAGTGCAGTGGCACAGTCATAGCTTACTGCAGCCTCAAACTCTCGGGTTCCAGCAATCCTCCTCCCTCAGCCTCTTGAGCAGCTGGGACTACGGCACATGCCACCACACCTGGCTAATTTAAAAAATTGTTTTCTTTTTGTAGAGACGGGGTCTCACTGTGTTGTGCAGGCCTTGAGCAATCCTTCTGCCTTGGCCTTCCCAAGTGCTGGGATTATAGGCATGAGCTACTGCACCCAGTGCCAGTTGATTTCAGATAAGAGAAAAATGCTGCTCCAATATCTCTTTGCTGGTACTGAAAGATGCAACCAATTTATTCATCCTTTAAATTCCACTCAGGACAAGTCTGAAGGCTGTACCCCTGAACAGCCATTTCTCTGAGTTCCCACGGCTCTTCATAAATGTCTACACAAATTCTTAGAATGAATATTCTGTAATACTTACATAACGATCTTCCCCATCAGGCTGTGAGTCCTTGAGGACAGGACTAGTTTTTTTCTTTTTTAAAAAATTCCTAACATTTAGCTAAATTCCTGGTACATAGTGCGTAATATAAAATATTCAAAAATTAGCCGGGCGTGGTGGCACATGCCTGTAATCTCAGCTACTTGGGAGGCTGAGGCACAAGAATTGCTTGAACCCAGGAGGCAGAGGTTGCAGTGAGTCCAGAGCACTCCAGCCTGGGTGACAGAGCAAGACACTTGATCTTAGCCAAAAGGCCAGGAAGAGATGAGATATATATTCTAAATAGCCATTAGATTTGAACCCAGATCTTGGTTAAGTTTTAGCGCTTCAAACTTTACGGACTCCGATTTTGTAATAAAACCACCAAAACTATGCAGGCAGATTTCTCACTAGTTTTAGAACCAACGGATGGCCTAGAGTTGGCCTCTTAGTTACCCAGAATCTCTATATGGTAAGAAAAGATGTTAGAGAACATTGGGAAATTTCTTTTGATATAATTCACTTTCTCTTGCCCCATGGTCTTGACATTCCAAAGACTTTGCTGGCAACCAATACATCAATGCAGAAAGCATTCTTGAAAAGATTATAGGCAACAGTAAGTCTCATATAAAGAGAAAGATGGTACAATCTTGTTGGTGAAATACAGTACAGGGACTCCTTCTGGTCAAAGAACTATATTAAAGCCTTGGACCCGGCACACATCCCTGTTCAAAGGGAAGGCAGAATGGAGACTCCGGAAGATGGAACATATGGTCACTGTGTTGGACTCTTTTGGTTTGGAAGTCAGCTCAAGTAACCAAGGCAATGAGGGATAGAAAACATAATTCTGATGACTCACATGGGGGTAAGAAAAATGCAGTCTCAAAACTCATGGGGGCTGGGGTAGTAAACCCATGGGGGCAACTCTGGGCACAGGATTCTCCCTCTCCTTGACCTTGTTGCTAATATCTTTACTTCTTTCATAGCCCTGATACTAGTTCATAGCTCCTACTCCATTGCATCCTGTTTTGCTCTTATAGTTGATTCCCAGGTCCTCAGTATTTCCTAGTTCAAAATGCCTTGAACTTGTTTGCCTCATTTCTTTTTTGTTTCAATATCTGGGATCACTAGGAAGCCTATCAACAGGATGCCCTGAATCAGTGCCCACAGCTGTGACGTAAGGTGGGGACAGAAGCGGAGAGTCATCTGTGTGCACTGCCATTAGCAGGGGCTGTAGATGGGGCAACTTCCCTTAGAATTGGATAGGGTTGCAGCAGGCTCTTTGACTCTCCAACAAAGTTAAGGTCCTTTGCATCCAGGCTTCCAGACCTTCTGATGATGGGACACACTTTTTTTTTTTAAAGACAGGGTCCTGCTCTATCCCCAAGACTGGAGTGCCTCTTAGTGACATGGCCATAGCTCACTGTAACCTCAGACCCCTGGGCTCTAACCCTAACCCTAAAATGGATTAAAAATCACTATTTTAGTTACATGTGTGTGTATACACACATAAAGTACCTAGTGTATGTGCCTAGTGTGTAATACACACACACGAGGTACTTTATATTTCATTTCATATTTACAACCAAACCTGTGAAGATAAATTATCTTCATTTTATAACAAAAGGAAGTAAGACTCAGAATGCTTAGGTGGCTTGCTCAAGGTCCTTGGTTAGAAGGTATAGAGGCAATGTTTTAACACAGATTTTGTCTGACTCCAAAACATGGCCTTTCAACTACATAATGCTGTGTCCTAGAGTGGGTTTATTTGTATTCTGATAGTTATTTATAAATTGACAGATAAAATAGTATGATTTACCATGTACAATATGATGTTTTGAAGTATATATATAGTTGATTGACTACAGCTAATTAACATATGCATTACCTCACAGTTCTGTGGTGAGAACCCTTAACATCCAATCTCAGCATTTTTCAAAAATGCAATATATTGTCATTAACTATAGTCATGATGTTGTATAACAGATTTCGTGAACTTATTCCTCCTGTGTAACTGAAATTTTGTATCCTTCGATGGACATATCCCCATCTCTGCAACTGTTTCAATAACCCCAGCCCGTGAAGCCCCCATTTTATAGAGTGGGTATGCATTGGTGAGAATAGCTGGTAAATGTTGACTCATTCAACTCTGTAGAAGTGAATCTCAGTAACAGTTTAACTACATTTTTAGCTTGTACACAGGAGTGGCCTAATAAGGGAGCACTTGGTCAGCGTGACATACATCATCTAGACTTTTCAAGGCTACCTTAAAGAACATCTATAAATACAGACACAAAAACACACTTATACCTCAGTAGTCAAAATCATTTTTAAAATCACATCTTAGCTCAAAAATTAAGTTAACTTTTATTTTTCATTAAAAATGAACTTTCTAAAATATTAGTAAATTTCATTTTAAGCTCTGCCTTGAAGTGCTGATACCACTGAAGTAACATTTTTCTTCTTTCAATTTTTTCTTGTAAAATTATAGTTTTCTCTTTTTCTAAAACAGCAGGGAGTTCCTTCCAGTTCTTGATAAAGATAAAGGGAGCCCCCATGGACTTGAGTAACTGCAGAGGAGCACTGTGGTGCACAGATGTATTCCCACAGCTGCCAGCTGTCATCACGTCTTCCACCACAGGAATGGAGCCATAGGAGCAAGCCTCATAGATTCGATAGCATTCTGTGTTTACTCCGACCGGGCACAATGTGAGATCACTTTGAAGCAAGGCATCTTGGTAATTCTTAAGACTTTCATTTGTTTCCTGAGGCTGCCAGCTAAAAAATCAGAAAAACAACTGTAGTTTTCACTTTACTAAGTATGTATTTTGTGAACAGAAATACCTTATCTTTTAATAAAATCAGTTTCAGGAAATGGCGAAACTTATAGAGATGACAGGCATAAGAGATATCCAAAATCCTGGCCCAAATAGATTTCTTAAAAATGTTGAAGAATTTGAACATTTTACAGTTGTACATTTATAAAATCAAGTAGTCACCGTAACACTTCTGAATGGATAATGATAATTCAACCTATACTTTCGGAGTGCTAGGTCCTCTCTTCCCTACCTTACCCTCATGGAGCATATATTCTAGTTCTGGTGGTGGAGATGGATAGTGACCAAGTGAAGTCAGTAGATCATTTAGATGGGGTAGAATACTATGAGAAAAAAGCACAGGAGTAAGTAGAGCAGGAGTTTCTGAGGGGGTAGGGTTGCAATCTTAAATAAGTGATGAGGGACTGTCTCACTGCGGCAGCATCTGAGCAGAGTTGGGGATGAAGGAGCAAGCCATGTAGATCTTGGGGGATAAAAGAGCAAGCAAGAGTGAAGGGCATGAGACAGCATGTGCCTGGCATGCTCAAGGAGCTGCGGGGAAGCCAGGGTGGCTGAGGTAGGGTAACTGAGGAAGCAGGCGCAGAAGATAAAGTTGGAATGGTCACACCAGACTCTATCATGCAGGCTTTTGATCATGGGGTGACACGACGTGATGTAGGTTTCATCAGAATCAATCTGGCTATTGTGTTGAGAATGGATTGTACAGGGGCAAGGGTAGAAGCTGAAAGATCAGTAAAGAAAGATAGATGTGGCTAGGCGCGGTGGCTCATGCCTGTAATCCCAGCACTTTGTGAGGCTGAGGCGGGTGGATCACCTCAGGTCAGGTTCGAGACCAACCTGGCCAACAAGGTAAAACCCCATCTCTACTGAATACAATAATTAGCTGGGTGTGGTGGCGGGCACCTGTAATCCCAGCTACTTGCGAGGCTAGGGCAGGAGAATCGCTTGAACCTGGGAGGCGGAGGTTGCAGTGAGCCGAGAATGTGTCACTGCACTCCAGTCTGGTCAACAAGAGTGAAACTCAGTCTCAAAAAAAAAAAAGATTTCTCCTGACTATTCTCAGTGAAATAAGCAATAGGGTCATAAACTAAGAAAGGTGGAAGTGTTAAGAGTGGAGAAAGAAGAAGGTATAAAACAGTCTTCTAGGAGAGTGGGAGAATATAGGGACCAGGGAAATATAAGACTGCTGGGCACCTGAGGTTCAAAGTCATGTGTTTAAATCAAGGTCAATTAGCACCTTTCTCCAATTATGTTTAGCTGCATGGGTGCAGGCACGGAGTAGGCAGACAGCTGGATTTAACCAGAGTTATGGTTTGCCAGATTAGGGGAATAGGGAGCTGAAGGTATAGGCAATTATGATCGACAATGAAATTTAAGTTGGGTAAAGAATAAAATGAAGAGAGGGGAGTGAAGGACAACAGAAGGGCAGTAGGAACAATAGATTCTAAGTGCCAGCTGAACTGTCAGAGTCAGATTATTACAGGGAATAAGCTGGAATGACAGATGATGGTGGTTGTAGAAAGAGATGCTGGGACTTGAGATCATGTTGAGAAGGTGCAGTATATGTAATGACCAAGTCTAGGAAATGACCATGAGAGAGAATGGCTGAGGTTGGGTGGAAGCCCAGATCATTGGAGGAGGGAAGGTGAAGAAACTGCAAAGACCAAAATGATAGAAAGACCATCTATGCAGATTTGGCAGTCACCAAAAATTGAGAACAGAGTAGTGTCAGACAGAGTTAGAGAGTACCAGGAGCTAAACTCTTCGAAGAAGTAGGGGGATAAACCCAAGGGTAAGTGCATGATTTCAGAGAGTAAGGGTGATGGATGGTTTTGTCTGCTGACATGAGATTCAAAATTGGGACTATTAGGGAGGAAAAGGGGAGAATAGTCTAGAAGCAACAATGAGAAACAAGGAAAACATCTACTCAACTTCTGGCTCAATGGTATGAAAGGAGTTACAAGAATTATTCCCATAATAACCTTTGTTATTTTATACTGTCCTCATTCATTCTACTCTAGACATACTGCCCCTGTTGTTCCTGTAACATAGTAAGCACACTCCTGCCTCAGGGCTTTCACTTTTCCCTCTGTCTGGAATAGTCTTGTCCCAAATATACACAAGACTGACCCATGCACATTCTTAAGGCCTGTGCATAAATGAAACCTTCTAATGAATGCCTTCCTTGGCTATTCCAAAATAGCAAATGCTCCACCACCAACACCCAAGCCCTCTCTATGCCATTCTTCTGCTTAATTTTTTACAGGGCATTTATCATCTTCTGACACACAATATATTTTACTTGCTTGTCTCCTCCAACAAGCATTTAAGTGCCAGGAAGGCATGGACTTTGTTTTGTTCACTGCTGTATTTACTGTGGGTAAACAGTTTCTGGCATAGAGCAATTGCTTGGTAAACACTGACTGAACGAATATGGTATGGTTACATTAGCAATAAAGAGTACCTGTTATCATTTAAAAAGTAAAATTCCAGACCTAACCGGACATTTTTTAAGGCATTACTTCCCTCATGACTCTGCATTATGCTTTATTTGAAAACTTGATTTGCCTATTTAAAAACAAAATAAATGATTGTAAATTTACTTCCTTCACACCATGAGTACCTGTTTCCTGGTTACTACACAAAAGAAGAAATTTAACCCTATCAAGTCTCCCTATCCAACCATTCATCCACTCACCATTTATCCTAGGCTGACTTGGGGCAAGGTCCTATGTTAGACCTGGGGATTCACAGAAGAAGAATACAATGTCCGTGTCCTGAAGATGGTGTCAGATTCCTGAATTCCTGAATTTGTGAGGGGTGCTGCACACCAGTCTTGGAACACTGAATTGGTCCATTGCACATCATCTCAGGGATGAACCTAAGTATCTCGTTAGCATTTATAATCTCCTGTGTGACTAACAAATATTACTGAGGAAACCCTAACAACTGAAATTTGCAAATGACAGTTGCCAGTGTTCCTCTTCAAGATGGACTAGTCACAGGAGGTTCTCCGTATTTTCAATGTGTACAACCCAGTCTCTTCACAGTTTTAATTACTAATGTATCCTCTGGGGAAAGACTGGTACAGAGTTACCCATGCCTCTTTGGAAACCTGTGTTTCTACATAAAGCAACTCTCAGACTGGACAACAAAATGAATGAATTAAATAAGCATAGAACTTACTGTTCTCTTGCTGAAACCCAACAAAGCTTATCGTTCCCATCTTTTTTCAAAATGTTCATTAGTGCCTGTCTGGATGAATTTTCATAAATCGTTCCTAAGAAATTACATAAATATGGCCTCTCATCATGCAGCATTGACCAACTTGCCTCCACCACAGGAAAATTCCTGTATCTATAAAAATAAATACACATGAATTAATATATCTCCACCACAGGAAAATTCCTTATATCTCTAAAAATAAATACACATGAATTAATATATGATATAGAATTGGCAAAAAATCCCCCTAACCCAACCTCTTAGGTAGCAAGAAGTACATAAAAGAGGTTTAAAATGTGATTTCTAAATCTCAAATTGTAATTTTCCATGCATACTTTGCAAAGCTCCCTGAATCTAGTAACTTAAAAAACTGAATTTCACATTGACATCTCTTATAAAATTGTCATAGAGATTTTGTGCCTAAAGTTCTTTGTTTTTGACATTCTTTAACTTGCATTACTCATCTGCAGCTGTTAGGCATGTTACATTCAAAACCTTCAAATTATAAAGACTCTTCTGTATTCATAATGATCGTGATTTAAGCAACATTTTAGCCAGGTGATGAAAAGATTACAGAATGCTCCAGGGGAGGCAGATGGATGGGGAAAAGGAAGATGTTGATCAAAGGGTATGAAGTTTCAGTTGGACAGGAGGAATAAGCTTTAGTGATCTATCACACAGAATAGGGTGACTATAATAAATAATAATGCACTGTATATTTCAAAATTGCTAAAACAGCAGATTTTATGTTTTTACCACAACAATTGTTAAGTATATAAGGTGATGGATTTGTTAGTCTGATTTAAGCATTCTACATTGTAAACATATTTCAAAACATCATTTGTACCCCATTAACATATATAATTACTATTTGTCAATTTTAAAAAAAGGAAAGATTTTATATTTTGCTATTGCAAAGGGCTCTGATAAATTAATCCCAAGGGCTTTTCAAGTAGATTAAAACAAACTGACAGATAAAAAAACATGGTATGCCATACAGGAAAAGTTACCTCTTTTTATAAGCATTTGGAAATACCAGGGATTAAAAATGTGTACCTGAAATATAAATTCACACGAGAACAAAATTTTACCTAACAGTATATAACAGGGTTTCTTAACCTCAGCATTACTGACATTTTGGGTTAATTTTTTCTCGTGGAGGCTGTCCTATACATTGTGGGGTGCTCAGCTGCATCCCTGGGCTCTATCTGCTGGATACCAGTTTTGACAACCTCTTTCCTCCAGTTGTGACAATCAAAAATGTCTCCAGGCCAGGCACAGTGGCTCATGCCTGAAATCCCAGCACTTTGGGAGGCTGAGGCAGGCAGATCACTTGAGGTCAGGAATTTGAGACCAGCCTGGCCAACATGGTGAAACCCCCTCTCTACAGAAAATACAAAATTAGCCAGGAGTGGTGGTGCCCACCTGTAATCCCAGCTACTTGGGAGGCTGAGGCAGGAGAATCAGTTGAACCTGGGAGGCAGAGGTTGCAGTGAGCCGAGATTGTACCACTGAACTTCAGCTGGGGTGACAGAGCAAGACTTCGTCTCAAAAAAAAAAAAAAAAAAAAGTCTCCAGACACTGCCAAATGCCTCCTGGTCAGCAAAATTGCCCCTGATTGAGAACCACTGACCTATATAAGAAATATACTGGCCTAGTGAAACAATACCGTGATTACCAAGAGGTTCCATCTTATACTATATGAAAACATTTTACAAATGCAGGCTCTGCTCAAAAAATAGATTTTTAAGAGGGTCTTAATCCTGGCTTTACTTAACAAAAACCTTTTTGCCTGGCCCTACCCCAAACCTACTGAGTCAGGATATTATAGGAGTAGGCCTGAGAATACATCTCATTACTGGCAGAGATGTGCCAGTGACATCTGTGTCGCTAACTAGGCAGCAGTCTAAGGCCACATCCAGCAACCAGTGACAGAATAATGAATAATGAATGTATGATTCAAAAATCATGTCAGTGAGATTTTTCATAATTCATCCACTCAACAAATACAGAATGTCTACTCTGTGCAGGTGCTGTTTTAGGCTCTGTGGATAGAGCAGTGAACAAAAGAGAGAAAAATCCCTGCTCTCAGGAGGCTTATATACTAGTGGCAACTTACCTTAAAGTCAACTTGCTCTTAATTAAAAACATCCTATTAACAGAAAGATAAAAATATGCTTTTCATTTTATAGTTGGAGAAAAACTGTATCTTTTTGTTTTTTATTTTGAGAGACAGTCTCATTTCAGTCTGTTGCCCAGGCTGGAGTGCAGTGGTGCAATCTCATCTCAGCTCAATCTCCTGGACTTAAGTGATCCTCCCACCTCAACCTCACGAGTAGCTAGGACTACAGGTGCCATACAGGAGTCCATGCCACCATGCCTGGATAATTTTTGATTTTTTTTGTTTGTTTTTGTAGAGATAGGGTTTTGCCATGTTGCCCAGGATGTTCTTGAACTCCTGGACTCAAGCAATCTACATACCTTGTCCTCCCAAAGTGCTGGGATTACAGGCAGTGAGCCACTGCGCCTGACATAAAAGACTGTATCTTGAAAAACCTTAGCTATCATTTAATTAATCCCTCCTTTTATAGAAGGGATTTGTATAAATTCAGCCAGTCTCAAACACAATGGTACAGTATATTCCTGATATAATAATATTGCCTCTTTTTTTTTTAACTATAAATAGATACTACCATTGTTTTTAAAAAAAGTCAATCTGCCATTTCTCTGCTAAATATCTTTTTATGGTACTCCTAATGAGCTTGAAAAATCCATTCTATGCCTTGGGATTTTAAAAGAAAAAAGTAACTCATCTCCCCATTAAAGAATAAAATACTCTTAAAAACATCATAATTGTTATTGAAGGATGCAACCACACCCTATTTTTATCGCTGAGAAAGACTGTACCTGGCCTCAATAATCCCGGAAGAACTAAATTTATTACAATTTTGAATAAGTCTTCCTGGTTCAGAAATTCAGGTGTTAGGGCCTAAGAACGGTTCATCATATTTTTACTTACGTTGCTACTCCTAAAGGCCACTGAAAAACATCTGCGTCATTAATCCAGGGGCTGTCATATATTATGAAAAGCAGCTCCACGAAGCCTCCATTTCTTTTGAGGAATGGGTTTATCCACTCATTATTACAATGTTCATTTCCGAGCAAAACAACAGCAAGATGCTGGAGTTTTTGAATTTGCACTAAATTTTGTGCATAAAGTAACCACTGGGTGGCATAAAAGATCTTTGCTTTTTCTCTTCCATTTAAAATGAGTACCACATTATTCACATCAACGGAGAAGTACCCTGGTATTACAGCTGGACCAGTGATGAAGCTGTTAAAAACAACACAACAAAAACAAGAGACAAAGCCTGAACAAAGGTATTTGGTATCAGAAGTTCATCATTTTATACAAAATCTATAATGAGATTTAATCCATATTCTTTCTAGAAGTACAATTTCTATAATACAATTTCTTTTGAACAAGTTTGAATGATGGGGCATAGCTGTAGATTAATGGTAAGCTTTGGTTGTAGACAGATCAATTTGCATATCATACAAAATGTGATTTTTTTTTTTTTTTTTGAGGCAGTGTCTCAACTCTTGTGGCTCAGGCTGGAGTGCAGTGGTGCAATCTTCACTCACTGCAGCCTCAACTTCCCTGGCTCAGGTGATCCTCCCACCTCAGCCTCCCAACTAGCTGAGACTACAGGTGTGCACCACTACATGCAGCTAATTTTTTGTAGAGATGGGGTTTCACCATGTTGGCCATGCTGGTCTTGAACTCCTTGGCTGAAGCAATCCATCTACCTCAGTCTCCCAAAGTATTGGGATTACAGGCATGAGCCACCATGCCTGACCTTTTTTTCTGTTGTTGTTTTAACCACACTGAAAATAAATGTTGGCTAGAATTTAAACTCTTAAGCAAAGAAATATAATAGAATAGTATGGAACTCTTAAAATAATGGTGTAGTTCAAACCAGAAAGGTATTTAAAGTCAGTAGTTCTCAACCCTTTTATAGTGTGAGCTGCTATTACACTCTTCATCTGAATCAATGGATGAGAAAGTGTTGACGAACTGAAAAATGAAGAATGGCATTATAAACATTCCATGAATGTTATATCTCAAAAATATAAGGTTAAAAAAAGCAAGGATTAGGACACTCACAAAATATAATTATACATAAACTTGAAAGTATAGTCATAAAAATTATTTATGCATATATATTTAGGATCAGTATTAATATAAAAATTTGAATGAGAGGATCCACATCAAATTCATAATAGCGATTCTATCTGAGGAGGAAGGAAGAGGAAAGGGACTAGAAAACAGTATAAAGGGAGCTTTACCCTTATTGAAAGTATTTAATTCTTTTAACAGGAAAGTTAAATATCTGAAGCAAATATGACGGAGAGATGAAATTTGTTAGTTTTGAGTAAATGGGAATTTGTTGTATTACTCCTTTTTTTTTTTTTTTTTGAGACAGAGTCTCACTCTGTTGCCCAGGCTGGAGTGCAGTGGCATGATCTCAGCTCACAGCAGCCTCCACCTCCTGGGTTCAATTCTCGTACCTCAGCTCCTGAGTAGCTGGGACCGCAGGCACCTGCCACCATGCCCAGCTCATTTTTATACTTTTAGTAGAGACAGGGTTTCGCCATGTTGGCCAGGCTGGTCTTGAATTCCTGACCTCAAATGATTCACCTGCCTTGGCCTTCCAAAGTGCTGGGATTACAGGTATGAGCCACCGCGCCCAGCCTACTCTCTTGTTTAAACTGTATTTTTAAAAAGTTATCATTAAAGGAATAGACATGTATCATAACTCATTTTTTTCATATTAAGTGCTGCCTAGAACAACCAGTACCATTGAAATATTTCCACTAGTATGAATTAAATGTAACAAATACCATTTAATTCATCTTAAAATCAGTCACTCTTATCCTGGATTCTTTACAACCTGCTTAAACCATTTCTTTATATCCTGATAGAATCTTTTAATTTTCAGCACAAATATGCCCAAATCCTGCTTTCATTGCTTCTTACTGCTGGGGATAAAAACTAACATTTGTTCAATGCCTTTTATATACATGATACATAAGCACTTTGCATGGGTCATCATCAATCCCCACAACAACTCTGAGGAGTTCATTATTCTCTCATTGGCATTTGTGAAATTGCACTTCAGCTGCACAGCCTGTAATGGCAATGCTGAGTTCTCAACCATGCTCTGTCTCACTTCAGAGCTTAAGTTTTTCCATAACACCATGGTTAACAAATACTAGAGTAAACAGACATTAGTTAAAACACAAAACCTAAATATATATTTTACTATGTATACATGTACCATATAATTTATATGACATTATTCTAAAATTATATAACATACAGGGACCAGGACTAGGTTTTGAGGACTATATTTGCCTTGGACAGTATCTAGCACTGGCAATGACTAATGATTCAGTGATCATTTAGTAATCTAAGATAATATGCAGAATCTGAGGGGCTAGAAAAACTAGCAATGATGATGATAATTATGGTATGTTTAAAATATTTATTATTGATAGCATTTGAATACTTAATATTTCTCTTTTAGAAATATAAGCAGGTATAATTCTTAGAGCATGAGAAAGTCTTCCAGTCCTCCTTCCCCATGTTAGGCCAATTTTATGAAGGAAAAAAAGGAAATCGTGAGAGAGCTTCTATGACTTGCATAAAGCTAGCTGACACTAGATAGGAAATGGTACAGGTTGGACTCAAATTTGGTTGACATTAAGCCCATATATATCATGTGCCCAAACAATTTTAGAGTGCCATACAGCTGGGTGTGGTGGCTCATGCCTGTAATCCCAGCACTTTAGTCGGCTGAGGTAGGTGGATCGCTTGAGTCCAGAGTTCGAGACCAGCCTACACAATATGGTGAAAACCCATCTCTACAAAAAATACAAAAATTAACTGGGCATGGTGGTGCATGCCTGTAGTCCCAGCTACTCAGGAGGCTGAAGCAGGAGGATCACTTGAGTCCAGGAAGTTGAGGCTGCAGTGAGCTGAGATCACGCACTGCACTTCAGCCTGGGTGACAATGAGACGTTGTCTCAAAAAAAAAAAAAAAAAACGGTTTTAGTCAATGTATTAAAATAAAATATATGAAGTTATTCTCAAATTTAAGTTTCATGTGAAAGGAATATCTTTCTAATTTTATTGATCCACACAAATTAACAAAATGAAGTATGATTTGTTCAAGGGCACATTTATACTGTCTTGGTCTTGGATGTCCACAGCTCCCTGTGTTTTGGTAATGGTGAAAGCCAAGGGGTCAATACTGGGAAGCTAAGGTGTAGGTCAGAGGTTCGCAGCACCTTTAGTGTTCCTGTAAATTTTTCAGTGTCTCCCAAGCTAAAAGAAATGCTTAACAGTTCAATTTTTAAAGTCATTAGGTCTAAACAACCTAGTATCTATGTCCTAACAGCTTAAAAGTGACTTAAAAAATAATACACAGACACTGAAAGAAAAAATCATATTCCTATTTCATTCTTAACTAATCACAAGTATTTAATAGCATGTGTGCACCTGCTGAGCACCATACAATTTCTCAAACCTTGAAATTCGTGGTCATTGTCATTTCCTATTCCACACCGATTTTTGTGCAATGCATGCATTTTATCACAGCAACCATGGAAAACCCAGTTTCACAAAGTCCTGACATTGTTGTAATAAATGCAGGGTGATCTAATGTTGAAACTGTACTACTTTGAACTTGCAGTTTGCACGGGGCATGACAGATGTCAAGTATCAGTGTTTCCCGTAAATATTTAAAATAGTTTGTGATGTCCCACAGTGCCTCCGTCAAGGAACCACAGATCTAAAAGATGAAACTGTAAGAGCCAAAAAAATTTCATTAGACTCAGATACTTGGTTTGTATATATGTATATATGTGTGTTGGGAAGTCTGTTAGTCAAACTGCAAGGGTTGAGAAGTAAGGAAGTGATTACAATGAGTATAGACAAGGATTCTGAAAGTTTTGAAGAGAAGGCGATAAAGCAATAATGGATGAAGAAGTGGAGAATAAAGGAGAGCAAGAAAGTAATGCATGGAACAAGGTCCTAGAAGCAGATGGGATGCACAGGTGGTGGGCTTTACTTGAGCCAGGAAAGATCACTCAATGTTTGAGAACTTGGAAAGAGATAAGGATGCGTGAGGGACCAGATAGAGAGTAGGTACACGTTAGAGCAGCTAGTTAAGACAGATAATTATGATGTCCTCAATTTTCCTGATGAAAGAGGAGGCAGGGTTGTCTGCTGAGACAGAGGAAGTAGGTAGATGTTGGGTGGTGGGCTAGGGAAGAGTGGACAAATTTGCTCCTGTTTCTGTATTTTCTATCTTTGTGTCACATTAGCTACCTACTCATGCAGACTAGAAACTAGGGACTTGTCAGATGTTTCTCTCTCTCATCTTCCCATCTAATTAATCCCTAAATTCTGACCATTTTGCTCGTAAATATTTCTGGAATTTGTCCCTGGCTCTGACCCACCACTACTTCCCTATTTCAAGCATTAGTTTTATCTCTGTTGGATACTTCCAATCTCCTACTTGGTCTGCCTGCAGTCAGCTGTCTCCTTCAAATCACTTTCCCCCAGAGCTGCTAGGGAAATCTACACACACAAACACATGACAATATCACTATCCTGCTTAATCATCCTCAACTGCTTTTCACTACCCTAGAACAAAGTCCAAGAGCCTTAATGTGGTACATACAAGGCTCACCATGATCTGGCCCTTGCTCAATCCTCCCCATCTCAGCTACCCTACCTTTTCTTCATGCTCTAGGAATACTAATTGGTTTGCAATTCCATGCACAAACCCAAGTTGATCAGTTACGAGCCTCTGATGTCACCTCTGCTGGGAATATAATCTTTTTTCTGCCTTGCTAACTTCTACTCATTTTAAGGACTGCTCAGCTATCACCTCCCTTACGAAACCTTTGTTGATAGGCCCCACACCCCTAACTCTACTCAGATTGAGTTAATTGCTTTTCTTCTGTATTTCCATAACAACAAACACGGTAGAGTATGCATATTCTTATCATTATGCTTTCTATATGGTATGAAAATAATTTATAAGGCCGGGCACGGTGGCTCACACCTGTAATCCCAGCACTTTGGGAGGCTGAGGCGAGTGGATCACCTGAGGTCAGGAGTTCGAGACCAGCCTGGCCAACATGGTAAAACCTCGTCTCTACTAAAAATACAAAAATTAGCTGGGCATGGTGGCGGGTGCCTGTAATCCCAGCTACTTGGGAGGCCGAGGCAGGAGAATTGCTTGAACCTAGGAGGTGGAG